AGGAGCAGGGCTGCAGGAGGAGCAGGGCAGCAGCAGGAGCAGGGCAGGAGGAGCAGGGCAGCAGGAGGAGCAGGGCAGCAGGAGGAGCAGGGCAGCAGCAGGAGCAGGGCAGCAGGAGGAGCAGGGCAGCAGGAGCAGGGCAGCAGCAGGAGCAGGGCAGCAGGAGCAGGGCTGGGCCCCGGGCTCCCAAAGCCTCCCGCAGCATTCCTGCTGCCTTGCTGCCTCCCGCGCCAGCGGCTCCAACTGCGAGCAGTGAGTAAGGGCTTGGGAACCCAGAGCATTTTTGGGCTCTGGGCCCAATCCTGCTTCCAGAGAAGTTAATTGGAATTTTTTCCTTCTAAAAAAGGGAGAGCCATCAGAAGTGCGCAGTTTAGTCCCGCAAGGCCCGGCGCTGCTGAGCGAGGCCGGGCAGGGATGGGCTGCGGGCTCCCGGAGCCCCGGTGGGACCGGGATGTGCTCCCGGAGCCCCGGTGGGACCGGGATGTGCTGCCGGAGCCCCGGTGGGACCGGGATGTGCTCCCGGGGCTGCCGGGGCCCGGCGCTGCAGCGGCGTTATCTGCACTGCGGTGACAGCAGCCGGCGCCGGGAGATAAGCGTCTCCTTGAGATGGAAGGGAGTTTCTGGGGGAGCTCGTGGAGTTTGCTGTGTAGCTGGGTGCAGATGTGGCCAGGGCCGGGGCCCGGAGCCCCGGGCGCTGCAGCGGGCACATGTGCCAGCCTTCCCGAGCCGGGTGCCGGGCTGGGCACAGCAGCAGCCGCAGCCCTGCACTGGCCGCAGACAGGAGCCAGGCAGAGGGGCTGTGCGGGGCACCCGCCCTTCCTCTTCCTCGCCGCTCCCAAGGGCTGCTCCTGGGATTTCAGAGCTGCTCCGGCTGCCAGGGAAGGAAGGTCCTGTCAGCTGCACGCACTGATAAACACGGCACGGCCTTCTGGGGAGAGAGAACTCTCCTCTTCTCCTCCGTGACCCTCTGAAGCCTGGAATAAAATCCAAACAAAAACGTTGATGCTGGTGTGTGGAAGAGTTTATTAGCGCCTGGGCAGCATTCTGGACTTTGTGTGGCCACCTCTGCTTTTCAGTGAGCTCTGATACTCTTTACCTGTCATTTTAGATGGGAATCCTTCCGTGCTCCAAATATAGGCACAACTTCAGTGGACTTTGAGTCTTCTTGAGTCTTTGAGTCTTCTTTCAAGCAGTGAAAAATCAAAGGTAGTGAGTCTGTATTCCTGATAATGTAATTATGTATTTTTCAGCTTTTTGATGTGTAGCAGTTAAGGGACTGCAGGCACTTGCTGTGGTGCTGGAGCTTTGCAGGCTGCTGGGAAGGAAGTCCCTGGGCAGATCTCTGCTGCTTATCACTGTTTTATTGAGCTCCTGTATTTATGTGCAAATATATTCAATAAATAAATCTTTAATGATGTGATTTTTGTTGTGAAAAGTAGACACAGCTCCGTTCGATTCTTCTAATTAAATACATCTAATGGTGGGACAGAAATAAAAGCATCTGAACTTCTTTCACTCACTTTTCCACATGACCGCCAAAATAATTGCTTTGGATTTGGTTTGGTTCCTACAACTTCTGAGCATTCTGTCTTTAATCACCATTTTTATAAAAGCTAGGTTTTCTCAAGTCATTTCAGAAGCTGTTTTCCAAATATCCCACGTTTTTGTGTAAGAGCAGGAATTTAAACTTTCATTCTTGGTGTTTCAAAATGGCTTTTAGAGGTAGAAGGGAAAATACAAAGAGAATAGTAATCTTTCGAGGTTTTTCCAAAATGCTTTCATTGTGTTTAATTTGGGTAGCTTGCTATGTTAATGAAAAAGGGGACACCTTGAGGAAAGCCCAAGTAGAGGATGGAGTGTTCTGTGTGAGAAATACTATGGGACAGTTTCAGTGGCAGCACCGGTGCCACACGCGCAGGGAGCAGCCCAGCCCAGGAGCCCCTTTGTGACTTGTCCCCCAAAGCTCTGCAGCCTGAGGCTGTGTGCAGCTGGGGCTGGTAGAGGCTTCTTCCTCATGGTTATTGTTAGCATGATTGGAAATGAACAAGCCTAACAATATACTAAAGCAAATACTGATTAACAACTTGTCTCAAAGATACTTTCCACTTCTTTCCTAAAATAAAAGTCATGCAGTTTTTATTACTTCTTTTTAATACCAGTGACTAATTTGGAGCTTTTGCTTGCTATATGAAGGCACGTGTATTTGTTTAGTTTGCGTGAGATTGGTCACGATCCAAAATTAATCACATCAGAAGTGTTTCTGTGCTGCTAAGCACTGTATATGTAGGGATTTCTATTAAGTCAAGGAAGGCAGCTCCTAAACTGGTTTAGTTTTGTTGTGTGTGGAAAAATAATTTCGTATTTAGAGTATAACAGTCATCTCTGATACCTCAGATGGTGGCAGAGCAGAGAGAATTAAAAATCCCATTCTCTGTGGTTTAGATTCTTATGTAACTACTGAAATAGATTATATAGATTTGTTGTATTTTCTGAGAAGCTGTACAAGTTTTCATTATGCTGGAAGGATGTGATTATAAACATAAATTAAATGTAAGGCCAGAATGAATCAAAGCATGGGAAGTGCTCTATTTTGGATCTGAGATTCCCTGAGAAACAGCCAGCTGTGAATGCAAATGCAGTGGGCTGTGTCTCCTGTCTCCCAGCAGATGCTGGAGTGTTTTCCAGGGCTGTCCTTGCCGTGTGATTCACGTTGGTGACTGGAGTCGGGCGGTGGCTCCCTGCTCCCGGTGTCCCCAGCATGGCAGTGCTGCCAGCTGTGGTGCTGTGTGCTTTCAGAGCTGTGGGACTGGGGTGCCTCTGGCCGTGCTGCAGAGCCAGGTTTGCCCCTTGGGCAGCAGTCCTTCGGTCCACGCTGAACTGCTCTGAGGACTCTGCTGTCCCTCATTCCCCTGTAACTTGCTGGTCCCTGGGGAGGAGCAGGTGACTGTCCCTGCATCGCCATAGCTCGCCGTGGCTGAGCTGAAGTGACCAGTTCTCAGATCTGCTGCAAGCAGAACTCGGTGGAACGAGTTCCTCATCAGCTGGACTCCCTTTTCGGTTGCCCTCAAGTCAGATGCAGGATGAAGCAATCCATAATTACCATAGCTCCAATGGGCCTGGCTGGCAGTGTGCCTGTTATGCAGCAGAGAGCAGCAAGGTGTCCCCCATGGAATTGTGTCCCACTGAGGTCCACGTGTCCTCAGGGCCAGGAGAGCTGCTGGCATTGTCACTGGGAGCGGGATGACACACCAGCGTGGAGCAGGTGACAGGAATGGCCTCTTCTCTTCCTGGTAATTGGGTTCAGATTTAATCTTGCTAGTTAATTTGATGTGTGCAGGGATGTGGTGGCTGCATCCAGACTCCTGACTCAAAATTATTGTCCTAATGAAGTGGTTGTCATGTGAACAGGCAAGAACTTTGAAATGTGGAGTTTTTGCTGTGGGCCAAGGTGGGAGGGGTGGCCCAGCCAGGGATGAGTTTGTGAGGCCAAGGGGAGAAGCTTATTGTCTGGAAGAAGTGCTACTATTAATAAATCAATAATGTTAGTCGTGGCCATGTGTACGTCCTGATCAATCAGGTGCTGACTGCAGTGGTCTCTTAGGTCTCTTTTTTCCCCCTGCTTTATCCAGCTGTCTCAGGGGAAGAAAAGGCCACCCTTTGCACCAGGGCCACATGGCAGCTGCATTAGGAAGGGAAGTGGAAACCTGAGCAGTAAAATAAGGTGCTGTCTGTTTTCCCTTCGGTGCAGGGCATGTTCAGGCATCAGACCCGCAGGAAGCCGGGGTTGGTGCCTGCTGCACCTCTCACCAGTGAGAGGTCACTTCTCCCTGAAACCATCAGCATCAGCTGAATTTGGTGTCAGAGGGAAGCAGTTCCTTCCCTTGCTGAGTCATGGACGTGGCTTTCTTTCTGCAGGGATTCTTATTATGGATGATGCTAATCATGATGTTTTATATAAATTCACACTCACACGTGCAGCTAGAAATGACCTGTCACTATGGGACAGTTTCTGCCTCTTAGCTACTGCTGCAGGTGCCCCCCAGCTCTGAATCTCGCTGGTGGGACTCATCCTGGGGTTTGCCATGTGGCTGTTCTGGAGGACAGCACCCAGCACCCACTGAGACAGGAGATGAGCTAGAGAGTCACAGCTCCATGGAGCAGAGTCAGGGGTCTGTTCACACACCCTGTGCTGCCCTGGGGAGAGCTGGGCTGGGGGCCCAGCTCCTGGGCTGACCCCGCTGCCGTGGCTCACCTTGCTGCTCTCCTGCCTTGCTTGGCTTGTGTACATTTGCAGTTAATCAAACAAAACGCGCAAGAGTCGGATTAATAAATAGCTTGTAGTTTTTGGAAGGCTGCGTAGTTGATTTATTGTGGCCTCTCAAATATCTTTGTATAGAAACAACATGTTTAAAATTACTATTAGAACAAAAAAATAAAACTGATTTTGATAAAGCAGGTTTTATTTTGTCAATTTGGTTTGTTACTTCTTGGATTTTTAACTTAAATTAGATTGCTGTTATTTTTAAAGATAAGCAACTTATTTTTAGATTTGCTTGAGCAATGTCACTTCCTTTTTGGTGGAATCCCCTATGCCAGGATAATAGAGAATTTCCCATTTCTAAAATACATTATGTGAATGTTATGGCAAAGGAATTACAGTGTGATTATGTTTTTATTGCCAGAAACAGTATTTGCAACTTCAGTGGTGGGTGGGGATGGATATGTAAATGCTTTGTAATACATAAATTGATGAAAAGTGGATTAAAGGGAAAGTGGTCCTTTCCCATTTTGTGTCCCTGGCATAAGGTTGCAAGAACAGAGTAACAGCTTGTGTGCCACTCCTTGTCCAGAGACAGGGACTGGCCTGTGCCTGTTCTTGCTCTTTAATACACACCCGGCTAATGCTGTCAGACTGAACCCTGTGTGTCCCTGAAGTCTCGAATTTTGTAACAGAGATTGATATATACCCCAGGTTATTAAAAAAAAAAAAAACAAAACCAACAGCATGTTTCTTGACTTGAATATTTTTTAAATTACAGCAAGAGCAGTTAATCCATAACCGTCTGCTCCCTAAAGGAAAGAGGGTTTATGGAATTTGTGGTGTAACTTGCTGATTTGAAAATAGCATTACTGTAATCTAAAGTAAGAGAGGATTGGGCTGTGGGATTTGTACGTCAGTGCCCATGAGCTGCTGGTGGGAATTGGTTCAGTTTGATCAGGGAAATCTTGGAACAATACCTGATTTCTGCACGTGGTTGGGACATGTAGTGTACATGTTGCCTCTTTTTTCATTATTTATCAAATTTTCATGAACCCAGTACACTTGGGTGTCTTCAATTCAGATGGAATGTCACAGTTAGGTGGTTCTGCTAAAACAGTTTCAGAAACTGTGAAATAGACTCAAGATAAAACCATGTCTGATGGGGATGTGCTGGAGGAGCCACTGAAGTCAGTGGGAGGTTGCACCAGGCAAGTCTGTCAGAGCTAAAACAGTACAAAAAAAAGCCTTTAAAACACTAGTAGTAGTACTACTACTAAAACTATGCATATCATGCAAAATATCTGGGTCATAGAAGCAGTGTTGGCAGTTTTTTTACAAATCTGGTGTGGCACTTAGCAGTTCAGAGCTAACATGTGCTTGTAGTTTTACCAGGCTCCAAGTCCCAGTTTGCTGGGCTGGGGAGCTGTGAAATCCAGCCCAGGGTACACGACCCTGGCAGTCCTGCTCTAGAGCTGGCTGCTCTCTGCTCCTGCCTTTGCACTCCCGTTTTTTCCTGAAATGTACAAAAGTACAAAATTGAAAGAGGAGTCATCTTGCTTTTCCATGCTGTCCTATGGGAGCAGTGGGTGCAGCCCAGAGTGTGACAATTGGGCTCTTCAGCTGTAGTTTACTAAAGAATATTTTCTTTTATCCAGTCCTGTACTGTTGTGTGACAAGATGTTAATTAGATCATTGTTTCAGCTTAATTTTGTGACAGTGTAATAATTATATCCTTCAATTGTGCCATGGGGTAATTGCTGTATCTCTTCCAAATTTTTTATTGAGATATGTTATTAGTAAACTTTGAGTTTGGCAGAGGTGTTTTGAAAATACTGTAAGGAGTCAGTAATTTTGTGTTCCTTGATTTAAAAGACAGCCATTTGGCAATTTCAAGCTTTGAGACTGCCCTGTCAGTGTAAATAGAATATTGATTTTATTCCATTTCCTATCTCATTAGAGTCATTGTCATGAGGATGAATTCACGTTGTGTAATTATCTGTTCTTGCTGACAGTTTTCATGTCATTGAGACTGGTGTTTTCAGCTTCCACTTGCTCTAAGCATAAAAATAGCATTCTTCCCTGCCATCTTCTCCTTCGGTGCTGGGCTCTTTGCCTGCCCAGCTTTCTACATGTTTCTTTGAGAGATGTGTGTGAATTGAGATCAAGAGAACAGGGATGTCCAGCAAACCCAGCTACAGGAACAATGAAAACAATGCCTCTTTGGGAGCAATTCTCAGTGCAGGGAGATACCTTATTTTTGTGTCAAAGACTGTAATGAGGAGGAAAAATGCATCATTAATCTGTCTGTACATTTCTTTATAGCAATAAGGGGAAGTAACAGGAGTCTCCTCTGTGTCAGATTCAATTTCTTGGACGCTTCCAGATAACCCTTCCATTGATTTGTGAGGCTGTTTCTTAATCATTTTCATTGACCCAGCTCTGGATACAAATAAGTCATCTCTGAAACCCTCCAAAGGAATGACTTCTCAGTGTTATTTCTCTCTTCTGTCTCTTCTGAGAATCACTTTTTAATTTGCTTTCAATCCTTGTATCCTGATACTCAGTGAAGACAAGGTTCTGCTTTGGCCAAACCAATGTTGCAATTATTCCCAGGACAAGTAGCAAATGCTTCTGAAATTCAAAATGTGAACTTTAAAACCCACCTGTGGATCACAAGAATCTTTATTACTGACTGCTCTGCTAGGTGGGGTCTAGAAACCGTCAACCCCTAAATCAGTTTTAATTAAATGAACAATAAAAAGTTCAATCTTTTTCCTGTCCTGTCTCTGAGGTTCTCCCTCTTGATTTGTTGCAGTTGTTCCCATCTTAGCAGCAGCAGCCCAAAGGAGACATCACCTGGATCAGCTGGGTTTTGCAGACAGTGTATCTTCCAGCATGTGAAGCTTATGAGAACTCCTTAGTGACTGAGTATCACAAGAGAATTTCCAAGTGATGAGAAAACAGTTCATGCAGATAAAGACAGATAATTCTATCCTAACATCTTCCTTTATTTAGTGGAGATACTGAAGATAAACCTCTGGTATGACACCAGGCTTTATTTCTGCTCAAAGGCTATTTTTAAAGCTGACATTTCTGGCTGTTTTCAGGTAGACAACAAACTATAACAGAACACTTTTTCTTCAAGTAACTGTTCATACAAAATACACATCTAGTATTCCTTTGTGTTCCCAAGATTTACCTTCGAGCCATCAGCTCCTCAGAGAAATACTTTTCTTTTTGTGGCTGGCAGCCTGAAGAAGGAAGGGTGGAATTCAGGCTCAGTTAGTGCAGTCACAAGTGTGTCACTGACCTCAGCAGAAGCAGGATTTCTCTCTGAGTGGGTGATTGTCCAAAACCTAACAGAAAACTTATTACAAACCTGGGAGTAAAACATAGTTCAGGGAGTATTACCAGGAATATTTCTATTGTCGGTACATGCAAGCACAAAAGCTAGTTTTCATCTTTTCATTTTGGGTGCTGCCTTCATGCTCTCTTTCATTTCTTGTTAGGGGTGACTGCTTGTGTAATGAGAGTGAAATATCTTGTTTGGAAGCGGTGGCCTTTAACTTGCATTGGCTTTAGCGCATAAAATGCATCAATTTGCTGCTCTAACTCTTCTTGGTGTTTGGAAAAATCAATGCTTGGTATGGATTGGTTACCAAGCTGATGAACAGGAGAAAACTCTGCTTAGAGCTGTTCCACAGCTTTGTGATGAGCTCTTCTTGCTGGCATTGGCAGCACCCTGTCCTGAGGGCTCACAGGGAACAAATGTTCCTACCAAAATAACACAAGTCATTTTGTGCAGTGCAGGAGTGATGGTGGGAGGAGGCAGATCCAGCTCTTGTCTGTGGAGGACAAGGTGCAGTGCACCTTGACTGAAGGCTGGGACATGTGTTCAGGCTTCCAGAAGCGCTCTGATGTGCTGGTATTCCTGCATGAGGCTGCAGGGATGCCTGCTGGATCTGGTGCACCTGCTGGCACACGGCTCCAGCAGCACATGCTCTGCTTTCAGATCTCTTGGTGCTAATCTGTCGTGGCTGGGAAGTGTGGCACACGTGCAACAACCAAACTGGTTTGCCTGGACACTTGTTACAAAACAATTTTTCAAAACCTACGAATTTTTGATATCCCAAGCTCTGAGGAGTGGTGACTGCTGGTACAGGATGACCCCAAACTTCAGAGTTTTAGGCAGTGGAAGCAAATGAGTATCTGTGTTTACCACAAAGACACTTAGTTGTTAACTTATGCTTGCAAGTAATTATGTAGTTGTTTGTCTCTCCCTCGCAGGGATTAAAAATGTGGCATGATTTCAAGTGTCCTGGCAAAGAACGCAGGGTGCCTGTTGTAATCTCATTAGCTCTGTTAGGTGTGTTTTCCTTCCCCTGGAGTTGGTTGTTGTGATCACCGTGTCCCTAGAAAAAGACTGTAGCTTTTTCTCATCTGTCGGTTTGCATCCACACTGAGAGCATCTCTTCCCAGGGTGTGATTCTGGAGGCCGTGTCAGTGACCTGCATTGGAGGGTGGTGGCAAATAGGAAGGTGATGTAGCAGCATCTTTAGTTAGACGGGGATGGGAATAGTCGTGCCGTTAGCGCAGGTGAGGATGCTGTTGGGGCTGCAGTGCTGGCGGAATCCCGGAGGTGGCCGGTGTTGTCAGCGTGTCCCAGGCAGTGCCTCGAGGGTCGCTCTGCTCGGTGCTCCGGGCCGGGATCCTCCACTGGGGCAGAGCCCGAGTTCATCGTGCTACATTTGTATTGCAGCTGGCACCGGGCTTCCGTGGCAGAGCTGGGCAGCGGAGTGTCGGGAAGGGCAGCCCATCACCGAGGCCGGCTTTGCCGGTGCTGCCGGTGCTGCCGGTGCTGCCGGGCGGCGGCAGA